GCACCTGGGATGGCGCGCTGGTAGTGTGGTTCACATACAGGGGGTGTAGATAGAAATTTCGGGGCCCCACGGGGGCTGCTTACCGATGAGCCGACGGACCGACTCTATATCGTTAGATCGTGACAAGCCCCGTTCACGCGGTAAGTGTGTGTGTGGGGGTCGCTCATGGGGGGCACAGACCTTATGCGTGCGTGCGTGCAGGCGTGCGTGATTGCGTGCTTGTGTGCATGCATGCGTGCGTGTATACGTGCGTGCGTGCGTGATTGCGTCCGTGCGTGCACGTAAATGACGTATGTCGTGCACGTGACATAAATGACGTATGCCACACATGTCACGTATGTCACATGGCGTCACACACGTGATGGATGACGTCACATCACATAAATGAGAGATGGTGAATGAATAAAAGAAAAAGCAGAGTTATAAATTATTTATTTAATATAAGACTTCATACATGTATCACAATCTAATTTATGCGTCTTGTATGGACCATCAATGACGTCACAACGGTTGTCGTTTGAAGGAGTATGGGCATCCAAGCAGGGCTCTAGTAGCTCATCTAATAATGCTGATGAATATTTATACCCATAGTTGCACACGCATGTTTAATAAATATTCGTTTGAAATGATAATCGTCAATATACTTGGTTGCATAACGAAGATCATCCAGCTGTTTATAAGAACAAATCAGTAACATTTTCGTTGGAACAAATATATATTTCATAACACTTAATGGATGTTGAACGTCAAAAACACCGTTCAGCAAAGCACATATAATTAGGAGTTAATGTAATCATGATTAACGATTAACTAACACTTAGGAATGTAATCATCCCATTTTATAAAAAAAACCTAATATAAGCCTAATACATTCTTTGTTGATATATGTAATTACAAGATATTTGTTAAATGCATTCTTCGTGATGATTTACAATTCAATCGTTGAAATCTTGCATAATTGTGAAACACATTTCGCCTCCATTTAGCCTCGTCGTCGTCATCGTCGTCGTGAATGGATAGTCGTTGTAGCTTTTCAAGTGTATGGTTTGTATCTTCATATTGACGAATTTGCTGTTTAATCACTTGAATATTTTTAATGTGTTGTTTTAGAAGCTCTTGCTGCTGCTGCTGCTGCTGCATGTTTGTATCAATGAGTGAATTACATAGGTAAACATTTATATACCCATTCTTTGATTTTAAGACAGTTATTCAGAACACATATACCATATACACCATTATGATTTAAACAGAGTGGTATACATTTCTCAATTTTCTCACATTTTGTGGTGAAACGTGAATCACAATGTTCAACATTGATTATATGGGGCTTACTAATTGGCATATCATTTAGGGCCGATTTCACCAACATTATTATTATGGACCTATAGAAAAATACCTTATCGAAATGCAATTTGACGGAAGCTGTCAAAGGTGTCAGAATATCAGTGATTTCTTTAAAATGTTGAAAATCGTAAAAATTCGACTGTATTATAAACAGGACCACGTTTTGATTCCATCATGATGCTTTTGTACAGAAAAAAACAGGACAACTTTCATGTATTTTGATATATGTTATAGGTTTACATTTAACAATCCATTATCCCCTCAGCGAATGAGAATTGGAGAAATAATAGGTCGATTTTCTAGCTGTTAAATTTGGCAGCAGGTTTGGTCGTTTGTTAATTCATGGCAATCTCGAAATTTGTTAAGTTCAATATACTGAGTGTATATTATGAGATCATTATAGCTACACATACCTGTTGAATTGTGCGGATTTGCAAGAAAATAGAATATAAAATGTATTCCAACCAATTCCTCATCTCTCTTTACATCATAATAGTAATCATTTGTTATTAATTTATGGGTTAATGAATTTCTTCAAAGCAATCAAAACAGTATGGTCGTCCCCATCCTAAAACACCGATATGTGTAAAACATGTTAATCCCTACATCTCCGAGATGCATAATCCAATTACTGTAGACATAGACCTAAAATTATTAGTAATTACTGAAAAATAAGAGCTAAAAAGAATTATAAATTGTGATAAAATATTGATGGTTAAGGTTTTTGACTGGTGATTGGTGGGGATACAATATAGGGATGGCGACGATAGAGAAAGATTTTCCCCTGCCGGCCCTTGACATCGTTTCGAAATATGAAATTCTGGAAACGCTATAAAAATAAAAATGAATACACAAAGCCTACTTGCCTATTCCAGACAAAAACAAAAATACATAACGATTGTCACCTTGACATCATTCTGCAATCTGTCAAAGTAGTGATGAGCGTGCCTGCTGCACGGTATACGGTATCGATATTCGATAACATATTTTTCTTTCTACCATGAATGCGTGGAAAAAACAAAATAAGGAGAGATCTGAAATAAGGAGTTATTGAAGGCCTAAAATAGCCAGGCGCTAATAATTCCTGGCCGTATTTGAATATCTGAGCAGGCACAGTAAAACAAAAATAAGACTTGGAATTAATAAAGTTTATTTCGACAGTTGGCAGAGTTTGCTCCACTGGGTAGTGGTGTTGAAAGAGTAATCATACGAAACTCGAGTACTCGTTAATCATAGATATCCGAAGTAACAAGTACCAATCCGAGCACGAAATGATTACTTTGATTACTCTGTTTTCCGTATCCCTACCCGGTACCTGTACAATCGTTTATCGTTGAGTGGTAACGCTGGTTAGACTGTAGCGCTACCGCTCATGCACCAGGGTTGCCAGACATCCACATTCAGATGGAAACCTGGAAACTCATTTTTTTATTGGCTGACATAAATTTGGTAATTGTTTTTAAATCTGAAGTTTACCTATTTACACCGTGACACAAATTCGCTTTTATTGTTGTGATCTTGGAAACCTGAAAAGGAATAAGTAGTCGATTGGATCGGATCCAAGTTCGGCAGTATTATGAGGCAGAAAAGCGACAACAAGGTAACACCACCGTTCAGGAAAACCACAATAATAAAAGTTATGTCAATTTGACTCGTGTTTCCATGCACTGTGTTGCTAAAAAAAATATAATTCAGTATGACCACCAATAGTATATATGTAGACCAAGCTCAACGTAGAATTTTTTATACTGGTATATTATGCTTAATTTAAATGCTTCGAAAAGTCACATGCCATTTCGAATTTCCTTAAGCCCATATATAGATCATCTTTCTGACTAAAAGACACGTTTTTAAGTATTTCTAGTAAATACAAAGAATTTTCAGTTTGTAGGCTCATATGAGTCATATGACACTCCACCCTATGATAACTCATCTCGATAAGCATACAGTTTGAAGATACAATGTTTGCATTAAACACGATAGTCTTGAATAAACTATGCTTATAACATTTTGCAAATTTTAAGGTCGTATATTTTCTTACAAGATTCGGTTCCATTCAACTTGTTTAAATTCGACATTAATCACACGACGCACATTGCCAAATCGCTATACTCATACTGCTCATAGTAATCAAAGTAACGAATACAATAAACGATTACTTTGTAGAAGAGTAACGATTAGTGACGAGTACTCGAAAGTAACGATAACCAACACCACTACCACTGGGACGAAGTGTTGACGGATCCCACAGAATTATGTGTCACTTGTCGATATGGTTAGTTTTAAAATATCAGGAGATAATGAGCTGTTATTCAAATCAGTGTATATGTTTGGCGATTCAAATAACGTCTAATATAAATATAACCCAGAATATGTACTCAGTGCAACAAGAAAGTTATTGCAAATTTCTAGTTTTTCTGCAGGTTTTAAGTTTGCCGGGAGGTTTACGACATATGTTTGAGTATTTGTTGTTCGTTGTGAATTTAGTGTGCATGTTTGTTAAGTTCCTGAACAACGAAAAATATTCAACTTTATGGATGTATGGATATTAAAAAACCAGAATGGTTTTGTGGGAATATCAATGTAAGGTGCCATAATGGTTCTGATGAACGGCAAGTAAATGAATGAATGTTTGGAAACGAGCAATATCTATGAACTTTTTGGTAGAGCCAGTCATCAAGTAGGTACTTAATGGCTATCTGCAACAGGTTTATAGGAAAAAACACCCAGTAGATGATCTTGAATCAGTAAAATCGCATATCAATTGAAGAAAATAATATTATCATGAATAAAAAATCAACAATGGTAATTAAAACATGAATTTTATTCAAAAATCAAAGATTTATTTAAATTTTGACTGAATTATATGTAATTTCTTAATATTCAATAAGCTGGTGATGTTTTAATGACAAGATATCATCTCATACTTTGACAATATCTTGTTTTCAACATTTCATAGCTATTGGTTGCTAAAATTTGTTGATTGGAACTTGAAGCTCTTTCGCTGTATTTGACGGACTGTTACCCTATAGGTGGAGAATAACGGACTGTTGTTGGTGAAATTTGCCCTGAATCAATGCGGATCTAGCAAACTTTTTGAGATGATTTCTAAACTATTATATTATATTATAAATATATTATAAACTTAACCAAAACACCATGATTCCATTTTCTTTTTCTAATAACTTTATTCAAAATCCTAATTTGATTGTTAGCACTCTTAATCCATATTCGTTTCTCGTCGTCATCACTACTATTATTCTGAAGTTGCGTGAAAGCATTTTGAAAGATACGCTTAATATTGTTACTCACCGACTCCATTTATGCTTGAACACACACACACACACGCGCGCGCGCACGCGCACACGCACACGCACACGCACGCACACGCACGCACGCACGCACGCACGCACGCACGCACGCACGCACACACACACACACACACACACACACACACACACACACACACACACACACACACACACACACACACACACACACACACACACACACACACACACACACACACACACACACACACACACACACACACACACACACACACACACACACACACACACACACACACACACACACACACACACACACACACACACACACACACACACACACACACACACACACACACACACACACACACACACAAATTAAACTCCGTTAATTAAAAATTTTGTTGCTGGATGGAAATTTCCCAGGCCCTGTTACAGTCCAGTAAATGTAACTGTGTACTTGGCTGCTTTAAATTTCTCGATTTCGGACTTGAATGCCTGCGTCAACCGACCTGGCAGAAACACCACGTTTTTTTCCAGATCTAGTAGCACTGACTCCCCAAATTTCCCCTTCGTCATCTTAGCACCCAATATCAGATAAGGCACGTTGATAGGCAGCTCCCACAACTTTATAGAAGGCTTCAGGTCTGCAAGTGACGATGCTTGATTAATCTTTGACAAATCCATGTTCTGTAAAGAGAAACTCTCTCTGTAGAGAAACAGCACTAAAAAAACTAAAATTTGTAATACTCACTTTTGTTTTCACTGCAACTGTACACTGGTGGATTTCACACGTTCGGCTAGTATGAACTACTTGATAGAGAATATTGAATTCGAATAACGTCAATGCTTGGTTGTCAGCTTATACATAGCCTATCAAGGTGTGTGGTTACCGGGATGCGAAACAGCTTATCATTATATTATTAACTACGAATTTCCTTGGTTTTATAGCAAAAACAGAAAATAAACTGATAGGGTTTACCAACCTTCCGATTCGAAATACAGTATCACTATGTTGCTGATAACGCGGTCGACGAATTATTAAGCGGTCCATCAATTGGTAAATTACACTTTTATTGAAAGTTAGTCACATGTATGAAGTCTTATATTAAATAAATAATTTATAACTCTGCTTTTTCTTTTATTCATTCACCATTTCTCATTTATGTGATATGACGTCATACATAATTTATGCCATGTGCGTGACATACGTCAATTATGTCACGTGTGTGACGTCATGTGACATATGTCACATGTGTGGAATACGTCATTTATGTCACGTGCACGGCATACGTCATTTACGTGCACGCACGCACGCAATCACGCACGCACGCATAAAGTCTGTGTCCCCCATGAGCGACCTCCACACACACACTTACCATGTGAATGGAGCTTCTTTCGATCTGACGATATACCGTCGGTCCGTCGACCCATCCATCGGTATGCGGCCCACCCGAAGCCCCTAAATTTCTATCTACCCTTGTATGTGGGTCACTCGACGACACCAGCATGCCATTCTACAGACAGGTGCGACAACAAATCGGCGCCATCTGACGCTGAGAGGCACAACTCACACACCCCCTGTATGTGGATCACTCTAGGACACATGATCAGCGCCATCCAGATGCGACAACTCGACACATGACGTGTGTGCGTGGAGCCATCTAGCGGCGAGATCCTCAACTCATCGTGATGTTTTACAGATTCCGTGTGTGTAGCACCATCTAGCGGTGAGATCCTCCACTCATCAGTGGCACATGGCGTTTGACAGATGACAGGTGCAGCGCCATCTTGCGGCAAGAAGCACAACTCCTCAATTACACATGACGTTCGACAGATGACACGTGTGGCGCCATCTTGCGACGAGAAGCATAATTCATCAATGACACATGGCGTTTGACAGATGACAGGTGTGGCTCCATCTTGCGACAAGAAGCACAACTCATCAATGACACATGGCGTTTGACGGATGACAGATGAGGCGCCATCTTGCGGCAAGAAGCACAACTCAACAATGACACATGGCGTTTGACGGATGACAGGTGAGGCGCCATCTTGCGGTGGGATCCTCAACTCATCAATGACACATGATGTTTTACAGATTCCGTTTGTGCAGCGCCATCTAGCGGGGGCATCCCCAACCCATCAATGGCGCATGACATCATCCTATCTCTATCTCTCTCCAATACATCGTCCGCCGCACTGTCTTTCTTACACATTGATTTCCCCATATGTGTAGCACGCGCACGCGCACGCACAATCTTTTTGCGCTCCAGCTACCTGCCAACCTTTTGACTCACCCTGTATAAAACATTCTTGACTCCCCCTGTATACTACACCTTATTATCATCATTACCGCAGGCGGACACAACAACACTGATAAGGCGATCGGCAGCCGGCCATCGGCTGTCTGGATCACTTCCGGTGAGACTACTTAGATTTGGTTAGGTTTTGTGCAGCGCCTCTAGCTGCGGATATAAAAACTAGTGCGGCAGAATCCCCATAGTATATCTACTGGACAGACTTGAATGGAATATGGAATGAAATTCAGTCGTGTTCAGCGATGAGTCCAAATTCTGTTTGGGCACACATGATGGCCGTGCAAGAATAATGAGGAGACGTGGTGTAAGATGGCGATCAGTAGACTGTTTAGAAGGGTACGGAGTAAATCTGCTTCAGTGGCTTCCTCGATATCCAGACCTTTCCCCCATCGAACATGTATGGGACATGATTTTAAGAAGGCTCTGCAAAATTTACCGCACCCTCCACAAACATTGGAGGCTCTACGAAACCAAATTTATATGGCCTGGGATACAGTACACCAAGAAGTCATCAATCACTACTTTGCGAAATTTCGAGTTAAAATTTTAATCACTTTCTATTTAGCAGTAGACCTAAACCTTATAAAAGTATGCTCAAAATTACAGCTTTCCTAGTCGGTGTTACATTTTCTATGTCATTTAGAATGTTCTTAGTAGTATTCAAATGTACAAAATTCCAATATAGCGTCCATATGAAAAAACAAAGTTTGTAACGGAAGCCGAAAGATCAAACCTCAAATTGGAAACTTCAATACACTATCTTGTAGAGGAGAAAAAGTGGCAATGGCAAAATGCATTTTATTTGTAAAAACCATCTGAAATAAAGTCAGCGAAAAATAAAAATTAGTTTGCCGTAAATCTGGTATACAAAACAAGTGACAATTTCTTAGCCTACCTAGGAAATTTTGTTTTTTTGAAATAACTAAGGTCTGGCAAGGTAAATGTCTGAAAAGTTATACATCTTTGGAATCAGAAAATCAGAATTAAAAACTCAAATCATACGTTTAAATATCCAATATGGCGTATATGAGAAAAAATAGAGCAGACGGTGGAGGACAATAGACGAAACGTCATATTCAAATTCTGATTATGACATCTTGTAGAGGAGAAAAAGTGGCAATCTTAGTGCGCAGTTTATTTTAAAATTCCACTACAAATAACGTCAGGAAAGATTGAAAATGATTTTATGAAATGATTTTTTCCGTCCCTCTCCGGAAGTGCGTTGAATTTCGAAACTTCGTGAGCGGCATTTTGTCAATTACCTCAATACGCAACTTTCCCCCAATTCAAGCGACTTTGCAGCTCTTACAGTTTCCTAGATCCCTATGGTGAGGGTCGGTATATGCATAGTCTAAGAGCAGCTACTGAGTTGCCCCCCAGTTTGAATGCCGCGATCAAAATCGTGGGCGTCTGGCTACCGTATTTAAACATATCTTCATAACCATTGGGCCAATTTTAACTTTTTAAAGTACATTTTACATAAGTTTCAAGAAAAATCATAAGTAAGTACACATTTTTTAATAATACAGCAGCTATTCAAAAGTATCAATGTCTTCAATCCTCATCAAATTATGCAATTATCAAAATCATACTACTTTAATGGAAAATGATCCACTTTTTGCTAGAATAAAAACCAATTTCTAAAGGTTACAAGAAATGTAGTTAGAAATACGAAAGGCAGTTTTAGCTAATCTTAACAAAACATTGAAATAACATCGCAAATCTTTCAGCGTCTAGCCACTAAGTTCAATACAGTCAACGCGCTTCGATCTTTCAGCGACTTAGTGCACTGCTTATGTGTATAATGCAGACGTAATCGCTGATGTTCTTTCATGGCAGTGCCAGCGTTGTCTTTCCTCCCTCAGTAGGTCAAATTATTATAAATTATATTGTTTCGTTTTTACCCGTAGACTTCAAGATCCGTTTGGTCAAACAAGAAGGGTCACTAAAACATGAGTCAATGAATTCCTCAGCGTAAGGGGATCGTCTCCAATTTGGCATGATACGGTCGGTTTCAAATTCGGTCCGAACGGTCTCCCAATTTGTAGAAATTCCCTCCCTAATTCAATCTGCAAGAGCGTGTGACGGTCTACGAAGAAAGCTGGCACACTCGCACATCTGAGCTCCGAGGGAATCCCTTGAGGGCTCCTCCACATTCTGCTGCCTGCCCTCATGCACCTTAAATTCGATTGTAGCATTTCTAATCGTAGTACTGTACTTGACATAACATGTAATGCAGTCAATCTGTGCCTAGGTAAAATAATGGGAAGACATAGAGAAATGAATATTGACACTCACCAGACTTGAAGTTTAGTCTTGTTTAAGCGATAAAGAGCAGCCGCGCACGTATATTGTTTCACAGGGTTAAAGTGGCTGGAATAGATTTTAGGGGGCAGCTTAAGCGATCCTAAATCTTTAAGTACAACATGCCTGGGCGTTCGAACCTACATAACAGCGGTTAAATGACCCCCTTTTACATTTTTAATTGATTATATATTGTCACAATAAATAGCATTTAATCATATTACAAAAGTGTAGAACGTGTGGCAATAGTAATCCTCTTCATTCTAATTCACATAATATACCAACAGACTTTGTGCTACTCCACTCCTTTGAGGCTTCAAAATTGGAACTGGAAAAAACGTTTCTAGCGCTTTCTGCTGAATTCATGCTTCATTTTTCGACCTAGTGTTAATGTCGTTGCTATAGGTATAGTCATCGTTCCTAGCGGTTACGTCATCAATGCCATATGAAATAAGTAAACAGATCGAGTCTCCGTACCATGGGCGCAGATTTATATTCAGCACATCTGCTACTCGTTGCATAACGCATGAAGTGGGCAGCAGGGGATCGTTGTTTTCATTCTCTTCCTGGAAATACTCTAATAAATTTAGCACGAGCTGTCGGCCTTCTCCATTGATCGTATTTCCGGGCACTGTACAATTTCTTATCGAAGATTAATAACAGGACAACCCAAACAGCACGCCGATGTCAAGTAAAGTGTCACTCTGACAAATATGATTGAAGGGCACGCATAAGTTAGTAACGACAATGTTTTCGAGACGGAGACATACAACTAAAAAACGTATGTTTTTGAGCTTCCCGAACAAACGTTCACACACAGGGTTAGGTTGCATGTGTATGTATGATGGAGATGGAGATATACAGGGTGTTAATAAAGTATCTACACAAGCTTTAACCATAGAACCCTTGGTCAATTTGAAGACGAAATTTCCATATGAACAAGGCTCCGCAGCGGCTTTGTTTTCAAGCTAAAAAATTATAAAAGATTGGAACGTATTTTATTTTAATTAAGCATCACATGATTTGCAGTTACTTTCAGACCCTCCATGTACGTAGATACGGATAATGCTATGCAGTATTTTTTTAAAAAATAGCATGACATTGATTTGTTTTGATCGCAATACTTCCAATATTTGAGCATTGTGCTTATCTAGACACCTATGATGTACCCTAAAACAATTGAAATGATTTATTTTCTCAAATAATTCGACAGCTGTCAAATATTTGTTTTCTTGTCTGGTCATTCTAAGACTCCAAATATTTCTAAGT